GAATGACTCGGTTTAGCAGCAGGTATCAATTCAACGGAGCAGAGGAGGCCAAGCGTTCCAATACTCCTGGTATCGATCGTAAGCCGAGAAAGAAGAACACAGACAGATAGTGAAAGCCTACTCGTATGGGGCTTCGTAATATTCGCCCATTTGAGTAACTTCAAAAAGGCGAAGGGCTACAACTGGAGGAGGATCCAGTGCTCTCCGATCCACCTCGGCATACCTATATGAACAAATATTTCAGGATAGATGGAGGACAGAGAACAGGGCACTAACTTCCGGCCTCGATCTGCAGCTTGTATTTCTTCAAGATCAGCTCGTATAAGCTTTCCGGCCCATTGTCCCATTTCGAAATGAAAAGAATGTCCTTGTTGCAGGCTATCGAAGGTTGGGAACGCAGCCCCGTCCGAGTTCCGTACATTGTCCATTAGAACCATGTCTGGATCATCGAGGTTTGGACGACACTGGGAGTAACAGGGGAATGACATCGGGGAGGAAGAAAGAGAAGGTGCGCGGTATTTAAAGAGCTTACAGGCGATACTAGAACATTAACGGCAGGGAGAAGCAATCGTTCAAGCAAACAGAAGCTAAAACCACGGTTCTAGGGGTGTGACTGGTTCATTCCATGCGTTCAGTTTTATACGACTATCCCAGTTTGTGTAAACCGAAGAGAACTTGACATTAAAGGCTTTGCAGTACACGTTGTTTAAGGGGCCCTAAAAATATTCCGGTTGGCATTCATCGGCGAATAAAGTTGGAGCAATTTAGCTTGAACTCGTGAAGGAGCCTTTCACTTTGTCTCAAAGGCACGGGAAGTAGCGTCGATAGAGTTTCGACATGGATATTAGTCCAATAGCAGTCGATGTGGGATCGATCGTTTAATGGACTGAGAAGATGACGCACAAGTAAGAATAAACAAGTCCTTGGACGCGGCCAAGAGTGCCACGACGCAAAAGCTAAAACGGCATGAGGAACAGTGTGAACTTTCCAACATGAAGGTTCCCGAGCTGGTCAGCATTGCAGGTCGCGGCGTACCGCAAATCACAGGAAGCCGCAGCTTGAAGCACTCGGCGACCCGGGGCTTACTCGGGACTCGGAAATGCTTGGAAGTTCTTGAATGATACTGCGGTACTTGAGTTGAGTTGTACTAGCTTGGTACTGTTGAGAACATGGCGGCGCGTGAGAGAGCCTAGAATTTAATTTTTGTACAGGTTTTTGAGGTCGGCTGCGGGAATGTCTGTCAAACGCTGTGTCAAACTGCAGCCATAAAGGCAATATCGTTTCTTCTCATTGCGCTGAAGAATGTCTCTTGACCAAAATCTCTTTACTCTTGTTATAACTCCAAGTACGCTCGATCCAAATGTCACAGATCTTGTGGCAGATGGCCAAATACTTTACAGGTTTGTGAACGAAATCGTTCCTAATTCATGTATTTTGAACTATAATCGCAGAAAGCAGCGTATTCCAGGGCCACAATACCAGATAGAAGTGTATGGTAGGTCTTTCAAGCAAAGGATCTGGATTTCTCGCCCACGATTAGCTTAGATTTCATGTCGGAATCGTTACTGGCGACGGCCACCAGTCCCAGCACTACGTCCAAGACGAAACTCATCGAGCTCCGAAACCCAACTATTCCTGTAGAAATCAAGTATACAGGAACTCTGTCCTTCAGATGGTCATTTACATGGGAGGAGCACGAATTCGAGTGGAAGCGAGAGGAGTGTTATCTAATTCGAAAGCCAGATCCGCCCGTGCTAGTTGCTATCACAAAGGAGCCTCCAGGTCGACTAAAGAGCACCTCTGTTCAAGTCCTCGACTACAACTTGAATCGGTATGTGGTCGAGTAAATCCATGCATTTCTGACACTAACATTCCTCTCAAGGTTCGACATAAATGATCGCAAGGGGCTAGAGATTGTCATATTGACTGCGCTTCTAACCTTCCACGACACCAATGATGCTCAACACACTCCCTCTCCAACGCCAACGCCTTCAGCCAGCGCTCCCATTATCTTGAGCCCTCCAACGCCACCCCCGAGACCTGAACCCAAGACTGGTGTCGATCGCATTGCAGAAATGCAAGCCATTCGGGGGGAATTCAACGAAGTCACTGTAGAGGCTGAGGGGAATGTAGCTGATTATGCTCAGTACTGCTGGAATCTCCTCCAGGTGCGTTATATCCGTTTGTGTCGGAGAATAGCTGACCAGGTATACAGGATGATTCGATCTTGTTTGTCACGATTAAATCCCATACTAGTCTTGAAGTGCCGGTATGTCCACTCGATACATTCTAAGCTATACATTTATCATAACTGTTCAATAGAAAGTTGTGCAAGTCTCTGAAGAAACCAAACGAATTCGACATAAAGCAGGTATGCCAAAGTTATAGATTACTGTTACATGGTCGCTAACCTCTCTTCCTAGGCTTGGAAGATGATCTCAATCAGTATGTCGTCCATGACGCTGATAGCAAGAAAGGGCCGAAGCGCATCAAACTGGATGATGATAAGAAAGGAAAGAAGCCAGCAGCGGCAGCGGCATACGTCCCACCAAGCAGTCTGTGCATTCACCTTAGCAAGATACCCATGCCGGAACTTCAGCCCCCAAAGCCAAACTCACAGGCGGATAAGGAATCTGCCTTCTTCAAGTCGAAGGATGGGAGAAAAGGTCTGCATATGTGTTTCCTTCTCTTCTTTCCGAACCTTCTTTTGATAACCGTATCATAGATTCACCACCCGTATCCCCTTCGAGATCTAAGCCTAATAAACTGTTTCACCGAAGTTCTACCTCTCGATCTCCCTCGCCTCCCCATGTGCATTCGTACCAAACTCACCCTCACCAGCCCTCGCCATCTCCGTCACAATTAAATAATCCGTTAGTTTACGTTGCACCTCCACCACCCCGCAATCATTCTCAGCATACTCGTACACACTCATCCACTGCGCCAGTGAGTCCTATGGCTCCACCAGGGTCACCGCCGATGTATTCACCATCGCAGCAGGCTGCGGCACCGTCAACCAACCCAATATCTGGACTATTGGAGCGATTTCACCTACACTGAAGAGCGATTCCGATCGTTGAACGCTCTTGTTTCACAATACTTGTACTTACATATCCAAGGAACGTTTTCATGGAATTCCAATAGGGCGTCGAGGATTAGAGACAGTGCCTACCAGCTGGTCATATGGGGAGGAAAGTGTTGAATAAAGAGCAGGAACTTTCATCACGAAGTTTCTGATGAGGTTCTCCTCTTACCTTGCTTATACCACTTGAGTTACACAACCATGATCCTCGGACAATGTTCCCGCGAGTGCGAAGGAGAGTGCTCCTTTCCTACTTCCCGAGTCTCACGCTTTAGCTCGAGTCTCATGTCGAAAGCTAAAGAGACGTGGAGATCGATTCCGGCCTCCTCTGTACAGTGGCGGCGCTTCGGAATGGAACAGAGGTTGGCGAAATATGCGATTTTTTTGTGCTTACTGCACCTCTATGCTCCAGCCAAATCGTGGGTATGAATTGGGTGCCTATCCCACCAAAATCCACCACTTAGACGATTACCATATGTGGTGATTGGCCGGAGATGGGTGCACTTTTATATACCTCTGTTCCATTCCGAAGCGCCGCCACTGTAGGTACAAAGCTTGTACAAAGTTGTGGAGCTGGTGCTGAGAATCGACCAACTTTCCAGTTTCATGTAAAGCAAAAGCGACGTTGGGATCGATTCCGACCTCGACTTTGTTTCTTCTCCGACCTGCGAGCCGATGCTATGTATGACGTCGACATTGGACGTCGCTAGGCGCCTAATTACCAAAGCGTAAATATCATGATGATTTCTACTTGTACCCGGGTCGAACGAAACGTAAGACCACAAAACATCTGCTGGAAAAAATGCTTTTAAGTTTGGTGCCGATCCCAATACATGCGGTATTAGCATCTATTATTACTTACTATGCCTATGAATTGTATGGATAAGGGTATGATTATCTTGAAGATTGTAGCCAGACTGCCTTATACTGATACGGTGTCATCTTGCATGCTCGACCCTTTACAGGAGAGGAAATTAGAGAGGGACTAAATGTCATGATAGTAACAAGTACATAGCTACATAGGCAACTTCGACTTCAAAGTGGCCTGCCGTTTTTGATTGACGCCCGATTATTTGACTTGTTCAACGCAACTTGTACGACCTTCTTCACGCTTATATTATAACTCTTGTCACTGTATGCAAAGCACTGTGCAAGTGCCAACAGGTGCTACCCAGGCCAAAGAGCGACTCTACACACAACTTGCCGGAAGCTTTGGACGAATGAACCGAGCGCTCATGCAAACGTCTAATCTTTGCGAGCTCCTTCAAATGGACCTGCGTGCCATGCAAATTTTTGTTGGAACAGATGCTTCACTGTGAGTGTAGGACGTGCTTGAAGCCTAATAGACTAGCGACGTTTACAGGTTCATGACCGTCGCAGCTTCTTTTAACGACGAGCCTGATGGAGATGAGATGTTGGTAGAGGACTCTACGAAGGAGACATGAATGTCGGTTTAGTTAGCTGGTTATCGTGATCGACATGGTTTACCACGCAACTTATTTACGGTGAGCTTTGGATGCTTCATAAGTGCTTAATCTAACCAATGGTCTATCATTTACTTCCATGTAGAATCTAACTTGAATCCGCTGTACTATCTTTCCACGTTTCCACATCGCGGGCATTGATGATCTCCACCGTTGACTCGGAGTGTTGAGACCTTTTTTCCTCGCTCTCAAATCGTGCATGCCTTCAACGTCAGGCTGCCCATCTATTCCAATACCAAGAAAACCAAGAAAACCAAAGTCGCTGAAGTGCTGGAACAAAGCATGTAGAAACTCCATTAAAACTACACGGTAATGCGGTCGCAGCCGAGTACACAGCGGAAGTCATTGTCTTCCTCGAAGATTTCCTGCGAGGACTAATACAACATTGAGCAGCATCTTCCTTCTGACTCCTACTTTCCTACTTGCTAAGGAAAGCCTTCTTAGCTCAGATGGTAGAGTGTTCCACTCGTATGTATTGACCGAAATTCAAAGTGGTAATGGAAAGGTCGCTAGTTCGATTCTGGCAGGAGGCATTGGGGTATTGCGAACAGTTTGCAAGTTTGTTTTTTTCTAGGTAATCAGTAAGCCACACTCAGTACTCAACCCTCGAAGTTTGGAGCGATGAACGATCATAGAATTCTAAGTCACGTACTAAGTACTGTGCTGTGTTACATTGCTATAGTATGTATACTGCATCCGATGCTTCTCCCGTCACGCAAACGAAGAACAGAGACGCCTTACTACATAGTAGGCGTATGTATCGTATCTACTGTATCAATAGAATCTATCAAGATCAAGCAGGACTCGGAGCTCAACGTGAAATAAAAGACTTGCGAGAATAAAATAGAAGGTCTAGCCTTGAACTTGAGACGCTGTGTCTGACCATTGCAGCCGTGCATGTCAATGGGAGGCGTAGAAGCATGTGGATAACCGGTGATTCTTGGGTGATTCTGTGGCAGAATCAGCACATCAGTCGAGACACATATCATGTATCACCACTGAAGGTATCCATGCAAAGATAGAGCCTTAAAGCTTGAAGCCAAGTTGATTAACTGCAGCAACAAACGTTTTTAATTTGTAGTATCTTCCAAGCATATATATAGGATTCGGAGAGGTGATAGGTGAAAGACCAAGTTCTTGCTGCTCTGATGTGTACGCTGTTGAAGATCGTTAGAGTGCTTGCAACAAATCGATACTACCAACACAAATAATGACCCGAGTGATCGAATATCTCGTTCGGTTAAAGCATGTATCCTAATGCAATCATTTGCGTTTCTCAATGAGCAGTCTTCGTGTTCTAGAGCTAACATCTGCTCCAGGTCCAATAGTCCCGAGAACTTGCACTGCTGAGTTGAATCTCTGATCATCGAAAAGAACCGCGCGCTTTATCGTTCAATGCTTCCATCATTTACCCTAATGCAATTATCTGCGTTCAAGTTTGTTCGTCGTAATTGCGATCGTTTGTCGCTCTTATCCCAAGTTTCCGAAGCTATCGTTGGTCTAAAGGTTATTGTTATACTGTACATGTATTGCTCGGGAAACTTCAGTAAGAATCAGGTAGCCTGAGGAATTATCTTCGAAAATCGATGTCTTGCATAATCCTACGCATTGGTAACTTTTCTTCTAGCTTCGAGGGTCTTTCTTTAGCTGGAGACGAGACAAATATCCGCGCGTATGGTATTGCTAGGTGAATGAGCGTGGGTTTGAAGGGCAGAAAAACAAACTCCGATAGGACAAGGAAGACTAAGTCACGTATATGTATATTCATTGGGCGAACGATGGAAGCCATTCCTCAATGTGGCGAGCAGCTGGGCACTGCGCAGGTTCCTGTAATCAACCCGAATGTGAAATGAGACCTCACCACCGTACTAAACTGAACGAAATTCAGGGAGATGAAGACCTGGGAAGAGGTTCGCCGCCGCCACTTGACCATCTTGAAAGTGGTAGCTACCATTCATCATGAAGAGACAAAGGAAGAAACTACGTCCTTGGCAGTATCAGTATCGAGTCAGCCCAATCGCAGTGCTAGTGATGCTATAGTACATGATTTGTTTATGAAAGAGCATGACTATAGATACCACTGTCACGTACTCATGTTTATTTCTGTGACATTGCCTCTCCAGATCGTATCCATTCAAATAAAAGGTTTTTGAGTTGGTTGTTATGAGAGATGGATGGGTCCCCGACATCTCCATCGTAGCTTCATTTTGCACCCAAGCACTATGTACATGGGCTCAGTTGAGCTCCGATGCATTCGTGTTTACCATACACTTGCGGTACTGTAAAATTCTTCTTTTTTCTTTCGATTCACCATATGCACCGTAAAATCAAGTGCTTTACGGTTTCAATGAATCCTACTGGAGCTCATTGTGAATAATTTGCAACGACTCCGAGAATCCCATTCCGAACATGGTTGAGGAGAGGTAAGAAACAACAGATAAAAGTCTTGGATACCGGTAACCAGATTGATGACAGCGAAGTGGAAGTGATCCCAAAAAGGCAATTGCGATTTTTGCGGGCTCACCTCCACCAACGTCTGCCAAATACTTTCAGCAGTTTTTGAGAAACACGTTCTCCTTGGACAGGAGAGGAATTGAGTAAGTTTCGGCGACGCAGCCTCGAAATTGTGGCGTTGCTTTCGGCGTACGACAAATGTTCATGTACATATCAATATGCCACTGCAATGCTACTGGAAATCATCTAGTCGAGCAATCGATATGTAAGTTCTAGAACTACGCTCTCGAGGCATCCTCTTGGTACAACGCCTTCCGAACCATATTAGTTTCTCGGAATTAACCTTCGTTTCTCGGACCCGCGTCTATGAACCGACGTGGACACGCGACCCACTGGCAAGTACTACCATCATTGACGAAGAATTCGTGTTTTCGAAGTCGAAAAGCGCGAAATACGCGGAAAATGCAACTCCTTGACCAGCTGGGAGTCTTCGGAGTCTGGATTCTACCTCCTCACTCTGGACGGTGGCTTGCTGTCATCACTGAGGGTTTTCCCCTCGGGTTTTAGCTAGTAGACCTGAGATGGGCCTGACACGCCAGGTTAATAGGGGACGCCTTGCCAGGGGACGCCTTTGCGAAGGGAATAATAGGCTACAATATGCTGTACACTTTATTCCTTTTATCTTAAATTTAGACCAACTGAAACAATATGTACAGGTGAACCTTGACTCGGAGGACAGGGAGAATGAAGAACTCTAATATCTACTATAGTAGAGCGAAAAATACGGACATGGAGACTGAGACAAACCTGTTTTACGGCCAGGTTCATTGGTTCTTGGAACGAAACCGAATAGATCTTCATTAACGTTGGAGCTCATAGCGTATGCCGACGCCAAAAGCTGGCTTCGAAAGCCAAAAGGAAGTCCTGTCAGCTGCCAACATACGGCTCCGACGAACATGCTTTGGCTTTCTCCTATCGACGTGTAGTAAGTACGTCCTCTCTGTTATCTCCGTAACTACTGAGGAACGATATTCTCTTCCGCCAGGCTACTTTGTAACCTTACAAATTGCATGTATACTCATTGCTCAGTACTTGACAGTAGAAACAATCCTTGAAGATCTTGTATATTATTATACTTGTCACTGCTCGACAGCAGTAGAATAGTAAGAAGGTATTTTCACCGTGACACAGTCTAAATTTAATTAAGCAACACCAATGAACGAATTCGAAAAAAAAAATCTTGACAATGACAGAATCAGCGTCTCGGCTATTCCATATGCTCGCTAATAATTAGTCGGTGCAAGTACTGTATGTGGATGTCGTTCGTCGTTGAGTGGACATTTATTTTTTAATTTACTTTTATTACGCATGCAATCGTCGCGATCGGCGAATCCCAACTGTCACGACACCGCGTCTACGCTGGCTGGCTCTCTAAATACCCCTATCTGGAATATATGGTGTGCGACTGTTAAGGTGTTGATTGCTAATATGCATACTTGATTGCTATGTAGTGGCATGACACGTCCAGACCTGGGCCTAATACATCTACGAGATCTTCCTAGTATCCTCTGCTATCCTTTTTTCCGTTAGCAGCAAGACCACCAGGCCTGGAGGCCTGGATCCCAGTTGTAGCAAGACCTAGCATTGATAAAACGGTCGGTAATCCCAGGTGGCCGACTGGCAGCGGCGTTGAACGCTGCATGTCATTCTACTAGTAACGCTTTCTTGAGGTTGAAACAAATCTGTCAATAGGGAAGACAATGACATGTAAACATTTGGGAGTCTTGGAATACCGACTACCTGATTTAAATTAAATTATGTTCATGCTCGCTGTAGTACTGTTTGTCTCTGGCGCACCCTGGGCGCACGTCGGGATTCCGTAGACTCCGAGTCTGCTGTAGAGGGAGAGGCTAACCTGAAACTTTAGGGCCGGGCAGCCGAAGGCAAGCATTGAAACAAGCAGTATACGGTGGATACGAGTATACACGAGGAGGGCACGCTGTGATAGTATCCAAGTCCAAAGACCCGATGTACGACATACACCAGCAGTGAGCGCGAAAAACCTGTAGGAAATTCGCTTGAGAATAACAGAGTGAATTGATATCCAGGTCTCGACTTTCAAAACATCCACGCTGCATACACGAGTACTGAGCGCGAGGTGAAGGAATTCTGGAAGTAGTTAGTAAAACAAACATTCGATAGCTAATACCATCCCCCATCCCAGAGACCTTACACAATTGCAAGCTGGCAGTCTGAAAGACGACATGTTCATGTCACTAGAGTCAATTCGAATTTTGAGGAGATCTCTTGAAACTTGTGAGGGATCTGTACACCAGGCCAGGACGACATTATCATTCCCACTGGAATTCACTCACATATCACTGCTAGTGAGTTCCACCAGTCTAGTAGTCCAGTAGGGACATCAAACCTACTAGATTTGTTCACGTCCGATAAAAATGGGGAACCCGCAGGGAAAAAAGGCAAGTAATAAGTACCAGTAGAGCAAGTAAAAGTGAACATTCAACAAATCTGGAAACCAAGTTACGGTTCAGTGAATATTATTGGCGGTTTGGGTCTTGATATGATGCGTAGGCTTGGGCGTCGATCATACTGATGCAAGTTGTCTGTGGCGCCAGACGCGCCCGAGTGGAGTGGATATCGCGGATTACTCTGGTGGACTGTAGGATAAGCATATACACAGAGGAGTACTGGCTGGAGATCGTCGCCACTGCGTACTTATGTGGAGTACAAGCTCCGAATAAAAGATCAAAGCAAGTGTTAGGAAGGAAGTCGTTGCAGTGGAGCGGGCCTGGCCTTGTATGCGCGGCTCTATCCGTATTCCAACCCTGAGCCATCCAGTCAAAATGAATAAATAAATATGTTTCATCGTTTCGGGAATTTGCGCTCGAGACCACCAATGGCAAAAGCCAGCAAAAATTAATTGCAGTGAGGCCGTTCGAGAGAAGAGAGAGATGATTCTCGACCGGTAGGGCGCATAAAGTAAGAGGCGCACAGACATCCGCAGTGCGCGCTCACGGCGCGTCGCGTCTTCACGTCAACGCAGTGCGTACCAGTCATT